CGCTTTTGCTGTATCTCCCTGAAGGTAAGTTAATACTAGATATATGTGAGAAAGACGTACTTAAATTTTGACTTACTCCTCCCCATAGTTCTGATTAACGACAACGTGTTAGAATTCGGGTTTAAAGGAGCATAGGTCAGAAACATTAAAATTAATTTTAATTTTAGCCCCAATTATCAAAAACAGTGAGGAGTCGTTAATTGATAAACCACAATCACCAAAATGGCAAAAAGTGGAGATCGACACAGTTGAAACTCGTCGAAGAGTCCTAAGACGCCTTCAGAAATTAGTTTCGCAACTATGATTGACATAGGTAGGTAAACATAATAACTCGGTTTCGAAACCACTCAGTATAACAATTTTAGTTACTGCTTAGAATCGTGACGGTACATTGTACGGTTTACTGCTATGTTGGAACAAAGCTAATATTATTCATTTCTTTTTTTTAAATGTTTATTCCTTTATCAGGAGACATAATAATTAAAATATTCCTGGTTACATACAGGTACACCATATTCTACAATGCGTGTATCCAAACTTTTTTGGTAGATTCATTGATAACGAAATTTCTGTTTTAGATCAACCAGGCCCTTCATGTCGTCAATTTTTATCTACTGAAACTTCTGCAATTCGGGCAGACATTGCTACACCAAGTGGAACCATCACATCTGCAAACATGAAAAAGTCACCAACCAACTTTGTCTCTTAAAACTTTTATTGGTAGGTACCTAAGTGTTATTGCTTAATGAATAACCACCCAGTTGGGAGTAGGTGAATTTTAAAATATCCTAACTCAAGTAGGACTACTACTATAAAAGACTACTAATTACTAAAACTTGCAGTCGAATGCTAGAAAAATTAGAAGCTAAATGTTCGAAAAGCTCGTCTCCAATCTTGATCTTTTTTTTTTTTTGCAGGTCATGAGAGACGATGCCAAATTTTAAAGAACATTAACGTCACTAGGCAAAAATTCCTATCCCCAAGGGAAAAATATCTTTATTCCAAAGTTATAGAATCCAGCAATAAGTTAAGAAGAATCAGTAGAAGGTTGTCGTCATTCAAATCCAAAGTTTCTGCTGCTGAATAACTTGCATCATAAACTAAATTTCAAATGCTCGTAGACCACGTCAATCCATTGATATACAGTCAAGTCCGTACTCAAAACCAAAAGCCTAAAGTTAGACGATTTACATTGGACGAGAAGTTGTTGGCGTTGTCTTTGCTTAAAGCTAGTGGTAAAGGGTATAGACTATTATCAAAAATATCCTCCAGGCGAAATCAGTTTCTTGAATGAGCTTTATATTATGTATAACTATATAAACTTTCTACCTAACACATGCGGAAAGTGTATTTTCTGGACTTAAAGGCTTGTCCGAACTCTGCTTTTTGTTGTCATTCGTGCAACTTCCATCACGTGCAGAAACACTTTCCTCACTTGTTAGATTAACAACGATTTTGGATTGTGAGAAAAGGACCTCTTTTGTCATTTTATTTACGATTTAAGTTTTTCATCAAGTTATTGTTAAATGTACGTCATTACTTCTTGTAACTGTCCTTATTATTTTTACCTTAACTAGCATTACCTACCTATGTATGTATACTTACATGAAAAACAACTGTTTCGCAATAATTGTAATTAATTCCATATTCTATTATATTTTCTGTTTCAAACTTTAATAAATATCTAAATTTGTCATCTTAATTCTTAGTCAATTTTACCTTGAAGGCGCTTCAACACTACCGATTTTATGAGTTTCTTCTTTTTGGCACAATTATTTTATGCCAAAAAATGGTAGAAACTTTAAAGTGGTGGTGTTGAATCGCTAGAATCAAACAATGGTGCAAACGATCCACCGGAACGAATAAGATACCGAACGAACCCTAATTGCGTTTTGCATTCGCCAATAAATCCAGAATTACAGAAGCTGACCCCCCCAGTCACTAGAGGCGCTGAAAACTTATAGACAGGTTCTCAACACGGTACTTACCTTTCTAAGGGGGGATGTTTTGTGGTGGAGTTTTTGGTAAAAAATTATAAGTCCTAGGTCCCATTTCGTGGGATTACGCTTACGATTTGTGGTAAAGTAGCGGAAAAAAGAAGAATATTCGAAGTTCTTTAAAAAGTGAACATGCTTACCTTGGCTTCAATAGAAATTGAAGAAGCCCTAGTACTATCCCTTATCGGATAGTACTAGGGCTACACCAACTCAATTATGTCCCGGGGTTCGGACGATTTATGGCAGTGGACTTTTTAAATAATTTTTTTGTTATTAGAAAGTAGATTCGAGAAAAAAAAATTGCGGTAAACGCATAAGCAGAACAAAAAAAAAAACTCAAAAATCGGAATTTTCAACGACACACATCAAAAAACGATCAAATTCAAGAAAATATTTGCAAATTTGTCACATTGCAATAAACCATCTTTTTCAAATAAGACCTTATGAAATTATTTTTGAGTTTCCGATTGGTCGCTTCGCTCGCCGAATCTCAAAGAGAAGATCTTCGGAAACGCGAAAAGCCATTTTTAAATAATACGTTCTTGAAATTTAAAATATTTTTAAGTCTAGGACTGCTCGCTCCGCTCGCCAAATCCCAGAAAGATGATCCTCGAAAACGTAAATCCATCAAAAATGTAAAAACCCTCTTTTAAAGAACACCTTCTTGTTTAAATTATTTTTGAGTCTTCGATTGCTCGCTCCTCTCGCCAAATCTCACAGAGAAGGTCCTTGGAAACTGAATCTTTATGGGAAAAATTACAAAATTACTTTCCGTAATGTTGACTGTAGCCAAGTACCGTGGTTAGTTAATCGAGAGTTTTTCACAAAAAGGCACTCAAACATACAATTGAATGCGTTTCTGTACTCACAGAATCTCCTAGGAAATCTATTAATTTTTACTTTACTCGCAAGATTTTCAATAGCGGCTAAAAACTCGATTTCTTCGTAATCAGCAATTTTTATGACAAAAATAACTAAAATTCACATTTCGTGATTTCATCCCGCGTGGGCTTACCCACTCGTAATTATGTCGATCAAAAAAAGGCGACGGTGACATTCGAGAATTGGATTATGCCAAAAGGCATCGAGATATGCGATTCTCTTACGCGACATTGGGAAATCGTAATTCGAGAATTGGGCCCCACTTGCGAAATGTTTTACTTTTCGTAACTGGGGGCCAATTTTTGACAATATAGGTTAAATTGCGTATTCCAAGATTTGCGAACAAAAATAAACGTATACGTATCTATAAACCCATTTTTGACCGGTGTGCGTAAATGGATAAACGTAGATATTGCGAATTCGTAAACATACGTATAATTGATTTGGCAACGTCGGAAATTTTAGAATGTTTGACAAATTTTTGACGTGTTTTTGCCTTTTTGAATATTTGACTTATATTTATATTTTGAATTGTGGATGTTTACGATAGTGGTAAATTATGGAAGAAAGCCAGTGACAAAAACTAAAAGAAAAGGGGTGCGAATGCCAGTGAAAAGCAAAAGAAACTTGTGAAAAGCAAGCTACAGCTAATCCAGTTGGTAGCTACAGGCTTGCGAAAAATTTCAACGCGTAATTAAGACCCATGAGTAGTACCGCATTAAACTAACTGTATAACAAACATTGCAAAATAACCTTCCAAATAAAATTCATTTCCTACTTTAGTCAAGACATCTAAATCAGTTGGTCGTTGTGCCAGACATGTATGAGGTTCTAAACATTCAACCAAATAACTAACAAGCTCTTTCGACAATCAGAACATATTAATAGGGTGTTTATTTGTAATTTGTACTGCTTTTCCTGCTTCAAGCAGATCTCAGCAGCAGATCAGCGTTCACCTGTCTCATATAAGCTCATAAATAGCAGCTCCTAGCAGATCTTCCTAATTTTTCTAGCAGGTAGAACAAGCAACACCCTCTAATAAACTGTCTTTGGGCCGGTTTCTCAATAGCAAGTCATCCCCGGGTTAAGCATAACTCCAGGGTAAACATTGCAACTGGACACGTTTAACCGGGAGTTAAAACCAACCTGGAGGTGACTCGCTATTGAGAAATAGGCCCTTTGGTTTAGCTCTACGAATGGATCACGGCGGTTATGTCGATGGTTGCGTCGATTTCGTATCTCTGCGTTTTCCAAATAATGAATTGCCAGCACATTCATCAAAATTTCCATATTATAGCCGATACACCTTGTAATCAAGAAGACAAGACGATAGAGCATATTCTCTGTGACTGCACTGCTCTTTCGCCAATACTCAGAGCCAGATTAGGCCAATCGTACCAATCACTAGAAGAGATCTGAGGCACCGCCTTCAGCGACGTCATCGCCTACGTAGAATCGCTAGGCTGGGTGACGAGCTAATGATGACCTCTCCTCTTGTGGAGTGTGGAGGCGCACAATGGGCATAATTGTGGCCTAAGTGCTGTAGCATACCTTATATCCCACCCTCCCAGATACAGAGGTAGTAGATACACAATAATTCAATAATAAAATAGCTATCAAACAAATTGACAAGAAAAAACAACCTAACATCCCCACTTGACACAAGAAAGACGAATACGCAAACCGAATTAGGCGACTAGAATACCGCTCGCAGAAAAGCGAATGAAAATATGCGCATACGAAACTTTGCGAACGGCCAAAAATCGGAACTTGTGACTGTTCGCAGATTTAGGAACAATCTACATACGTGTCTATATTTGCGAACGGTCAAAAATTGACCCCCTGGTGATGAAAAAAAAGTGTCACTTTAAATGTCAAAATTAGAAAAATAAAAATTAATTCGCTAAATTTTCGAATGGGCAGGCATTAAAATCACCCATATTCTCATCAGCTAACTAGCTACAATCAGCCCTCAAAATGCCAGGCAAAAAAAAAATGACTTCGCTAAAGAGTCCATATCTCACGGTCTAAAACAAAGCCCTTTTGCTCAAATTGACTTTTTGTCTAAAATGCCGGCCAGTTACAATATTTCTATAGATTCTTGGGTTATCCAATACGTACATCTGTTAAAGTTCCAGCACATATAGCAATGAATCTCAGCCATTGTATAGCTAGAGGATCGTCAAATCCACCCAAACATAGCAGCTGTATCAAAGTGTTATGATGCAAACAGGCTCCCATCCATCTATCCCATAAAATCTAAAACAATTCAATTGTTCACCTTAATGGTAATTATTTACTATAATAATTAAGCTACACCTAAAGAAAATAGCAGATGTTGTTTAAATGGATTATTTAAGTTATGATAAATTCTGATGTCGGAAGTAATATTTTTTGTAATTTGAGAGTTGATGATTGTTTACAATGGAAAAGAGCGTGATAGAAATGTTAAAATTAGTTCGCATATTTGCCGCTGTTCTCTTCTCACTGGTCGCACATTATAATGAACGATTACCCCAGGAGGATTTGTTTATTATACCGGAGGTTTTTCATATTTTTCGAGAGAAGTTGAAGACCAATCCCCCAATAATCTAATCTCACGTTCTAAATTTAAGCCCAATACTACATCACACACATCTCGCTTCAATTCTGGTTCTGTAAACTCGATTCGAATTGTCTGGACCTGAATTTCGATTATTTTCATCCTTCTTGTTCATTTCTTATCCTGACTGTCTTGGATCACAAATGATCATGGACATTCTTCGTGCAAAGAATTCCGGAGTTAAAATATGTCCCCTTCCATTCGGATCTCAGTGCACCAAGATCTTGAGCACAAAAATCCACATATGCTGGTCTTAACGAAGACGCAAGTACAATCTTCTGTTTCGAATAATTTCATAATTTTTTTTTATTCTGAAGAGAAAAAGTTGACGAAAATCACTTAGATAATTATGTTTTTCTGAAAAGACCGGGAAAGTGATTCTCGTATTGCTGAATAATTGGAACTAAAAGACAAACATTTAACAGGTATTTAACCGATCGCAGAAAAAAATAGTATGTGTATTTCGGTGGAAAAGCACTTCTCGGCCTTCGGTGTTTGCCGGCCTCGGCTACGCCTCGCCCGTCAACTTACACCGTCGGCCGAGAAGGTGTCACTTTTCTACCTAAATACACAATATACTATTTATTCGTAAAACTAGGTAAAACTTTACACTTTTTATGCAGTAATTTTTTCAGTTAGCGAGAAACTTTTTTGTTTCAAGGATTTCTGCCATACTATTAGCGAATGAAACAAAGCTAAGACATCAAGGAAGTTTGTGAAAAAAAACCGCGATACTCTGCGATGCATATTTTTCAAGATAGATATCGTCACTTGAACAAGACTTTTACCGGCCGCGCACTGCGGGTAGCTTCGCAACACTTAGGCGCAGCGCGCGTCTATCGAATCGACACTATTTTTTCTACATACGTACTAAAAGTGATATTAGCACTAGTGCTAAAAGTAATCACTTTTAACACCAGTGTCATAAAATGGCATTTCGGACACTGACAGCATCCTTTAAAAATGACACTTTTAGTGACGTTTGTAGAAAAAATATTTAATTTTAGTTTGTGGTGTGGTGCGTGACAAAAAAATGTTTAAAGTTTAATGGCAGAGCCATTCTTTGGTCGATCATTATAGTACGGGATACGAGGCCTATTTCATCAACTCATTTTACACCGTCTTGCATTGTTATCATCAGTTAGATAACATGATGCTGAAACGCATTTGAGAAATAGATGAGAGTGGGGGATTTCGCTGAAAAAATATTTCAGAAAATGTCGTCATAAACAAGGAAAATATATAATTAAACACCGTCTTGCATTTATTCATTGAGTAAATTTGTACACAAATAAAATTGGATTAACACATGCAAGACATTTTCATGGAGGCTTTGAAATTGTAATATTAGATAGAAATTGTCAATTTTTCAGAGGGGTGAAATATCATTTTACACCACTTCATTGTTGATTTATATTAAAGCTTGGATGTAGAATAGCCATTGGATACTGATGCAAGACATCCTGTGGAGGGATAACGGGCTGCAAGGCGGAGGTCAATGTGTTGTATTATGAAGAACTGAGAAATCATTTTACCCCGTCTTGCACTGGTACTAATGGGAAAAACAGAACACATTGATAACATGTTCAAAAATATAAGACGTTCTGAATGGAAACAAAGGACTGCAAGACGGTGATGAAGTTGACTAATTTTGACGGGGGTCAATCCATCAGTTACAAAGGTGAATACTACTCCAAATTACAAATTACGCACATTAATTTTAAATATTTTTGCGCTTTACCACGTAGAATAATTCTATTTTGCAAAATTCTCTTAATATTATGTATATTTGAATGTCTCTACGGACATCAAATAAGAAATGGTTGAAAATTGTTCTTTTTCTGACGGCTTATAATCATTTAGGTTTTTTGGGGTGGATATGCCATGACACTGAGCAAAACCACCTATTTAAAAATATTCTTTCTTCAAATTTTAACTTAAAAAAAAAAATTGTTTACTGAATAAAATTAAATGTTGCAGCCATGTATGCAACCGAGAGAAGAAGCATGTGCAATGTTCATGTATTTAACCAAAATCGTTTCATACTGTAAACAACACAGATAAAGAGTAAATTAAAACCTAAGAAATTATGTGCTGTCTTTTGTGCTAGGATTTTGATTTTCTGTATTAGGGCCTTGTTGAATTTACTAAAATTTTCCTACCCTGACGAGCGAATATCCTACCGAACAAAGGAAAGAGATATTGGGTCAAAAACAACTATAGCCGTGAGCTTACGTAACCAGGGACCTCGGTACCCGCCACAGATGGGCTAACTAACCAAAAACTCTTCAGTATTGAATATAGGTAGTGTGGATTGAATGTAGTGTGTGTAATTAAAATTTTAGCACAAGAACAGGGGCGGTACCTAATTTAAACTTTTATTGACCTAAATTATTGAATTAATGACTCACACTTATTATTTAAAATGACCCAGTATGTTTCGATTTTTAGGGAATGTTAGATCGAGGTTTTCTCTGCCGTTCTCTTTCCCCTCAAGAATTCTAAGTCGAGAACGGTACGTTCGTCTTTGATAATAAAGTAGACGTTTCACAAATTTTTCGTTTCTTTTACATATCACAACTTCCCTTAAATTTCCCAAATATATGTCGGGCGCATGTCCAGTAAGTAAAATTGAGTAAGTTTCCACAACGTAGGTCCTATTTGTTTTTCATTTCGTTTCTCAGAATATTTGTTGTTTAAAAGGTAATAAAAATTCTCATCGTTCAATCTTACTGAGCGAACCTGGGTATGTTATACTACAACACATAAAAGATTGTAAGTATTAGGTAAATTTAAGAAATTTGATTTCAAAACAGCAAAAAAATAATACATAACAAATGATCTGTCTGGAATTGTAAACAGAAATTATAATTCCTGTATTCACCAGACTCCCATGTTGAGCTGCTATGTCAACTGTCCTTTTCCATCTGTATGATTTAGAAAAGAATAAACAGTGAACGGTTCAGTAAATAACAGTTCAGTTAAAAAAGAAATAGTATTTTACATTATTAGCCAGGTAAAACAGTTTTTACTGGTGATTGAAGGAAATGACTAGCGAGCCGTCAGGCGAGGTTGTCACCTTCAAGAGCCAGTAAAAACTGATACCTGGCGTATGATGTACAATAATTTATTTATTACTCATTTGTAAACAATCTTAAACAATAAATAAAAAATTAATACATATAGGTAATAAAATTTTAATAAATAATTCTCTGACCCTACTGACTTGTAATAGTATTTTACATTATTAGCCAGGTAAAACAGTTTTTACTGGCGATTGAAGGAAATGACTAGCGAGCCGCCAGGCGAGCTTGTCACCTTCAAGAGCCAGTAAAAACTGCTACCTGGCGTATAATGTACAATAATTTATTTGTTACTCATTTGTAAAAGATATAGGGACAAATAAAAAATCAATACATAACAAAAATTTGAAATTTATATGTTTTTCCTTGATTTTTTCTCACAGAAGTTTCGGTAGTTGGTATAACTATGAGAATGATACGTTGTTAAGACGTTGTTTCTAGTTATAAATAGGTTTTTTGACAGATTTCCATTTTGCAATTTTTTTCCAGAAATGAATTTATTACAAGATATTATTAATGAAGCTGCAGTCGTAGCCAACAGTTTATCACCAGAAAAGTCTCCCAGAAGGTACCTACAAGCAATTATTCTTGTGATAAAACCGATTTTTCAAAAATAAATAATTCTACTGACTTGTAAAAAGTTTTTACAGTTTAGCTGTCAATTTTACAAGTCGGTAGAGCCAGTAGCTTGTAAAAATCAATTTTCGCTGGTTATGTTATGACTTGATAAGTGACGTTTTACAAATGAGTGACAAATAAATTTTTTTTACAGTTTAGCTGTCAATTTTACAAGTCAGTAGAGCCAGTAACTGGTAAAAATCAATTTTCGTTGTTTATGTTTTGACTTGATAAATGACGTTTTACAAATGAGTGACAAATAAATGGATTTATCAACTTTTTTCCCCGAAAAAACGTCTTGGACTGATGTGTTACCATTTCTTAACATATATTCTTCCGACGGACATAAGCATGAAGTGGTGTCAAATAATGTTTCACTCCCTCATGAGACAACGCATTGACATCTGTCTTGCAGCCCGATATCCCTCCACAGGATGTCTTGCATCAGTATCCAATGGCTATTCTACATTCAAGTTTTAATCTAAATCAACAATGAAGTGGTGTAAAATGATATTTCACCCCTCTGAAAAATTGACAATTTCTATCCAATATTACAACTTTAAAACCTCCATGTGTTAATCCAATTTTATTTGTGTATTAACTCAATAAATAAATGCAAGACGGTGTATAATTATATATTTTCCTTGTTTATGACGACATTTTCTGGAATATTTTTTTGAGCGAAATCCCCCACCCCCATCTATTATTTCCCTGCACAAGTGCGTTCCAGCATCATGTTATCTAACTGATGATAACAATGCAAGACGGTGTAAAATGATTTGATAAAATAGGCCTCGTATCCCGTACTATTATCCGATAAAGCTGAAATTGGAATTGCAACCCCCACATTTCTAATATAGGAGCCGCCACTGGTTCTCGTCACATTACTCGTTTCTGCTAATGTAAGAGTATCCAGTATTCATGATTGTTCTCTTCCTATTAAGCAAAGATAGTAG